ATTTTGAGTTTTTTTATGAAATACGGAGTATTTATTTACTATTTTTTATGTGCCAGGTTGATGAGGAGAGTGATGAAGTGTCATCGGATGGAGAAGATCAATGAATTATTTGAAATGATTTTGTCCTTAGCTTGTAGTTATATTTGACTTCAACTTTTGATTAGTAGGCAATACATTTCTTTAGCTATGTATTAATATATTAAATATTATTGACTTATTATAAATTTTTGAAAAGTTAGTTATTTACTTATTTGTAATAGTTGGATGACTAAACCTTACTTTGTATTTATGCTGCATCATAATTCATAATGCAGTTTTTGCTTTGTTTTTATAGTTTGTATTACTGATTTTAAGTAGTCATGCAACAATATGTTTAAATTAATCGAGATAATATAATATAATTGTTGTTGAATACACCCTTTTGTAGTCATCTAAAACCATATAATAAAAAAATGTGTTTGAATATGCATTGTTATATGACGTTGCCTCAAATGATCTAATATTTAGAGTCACCATAATATAATTATTTCTAATTATATTTTGAGACATCATATTTTGGGTTGTCACTAATGATGTTTAAGGACGGGATAAAAGGTTTGCTTCAAATAATGTTTTGGGACAATATATTATGATTGCCTCAAATACTGTTTTGGAACAAGGTGACATGATTGCCTCAAATGGTGTTTAGAGACAAGGTGACTTGGTTGTCTCAAATGATATTTTGGGACACAATCATATGGTTGCCTCTAAATGCATATCATTAGAGTCAAATATTTTGTTGCATCTAAAGCTAGCTTTAGAGGCAACCATCATTTAGGGACGGATTAATTAGGGACACCATAGAGGCAACCAATAAATTGCCTCAAAAAGTAATTAGAGGCAATATCTTCATATATAGGGACCACTATGGCTTGCCTCTACAAACCATTTTTTGTGTAGTGTGAGGGGCGAGTATATCGCCGGCTACACCATGACACCAAGTGCCTTAGCCATGAGGACATGAGATGGCGACAAGGGATGAACTTTGATACTCCCTTCGTACTTTTAATTTAGCCAAACACTAGTTTTCAACTCAAAGTTTTTGGCACTCCCTTCATACTTTTAATTTAGCCAAACACTAGTTTTCAACTCAAAGTTTTTGAACTTTGACCGATTATATATTTATACACGGTAATATTGATAAAATGAAAATTATATGAAACTGGTCTATGTTTGAAATATTATCATAAAAGTACAAATTTATTAAGTTTCGCATAAATATTTTTTTTTGAAATGGAAACTCTTCTATTAAGATCAAAACAGTCGCGATAACATCCCAATCAACGACTCTAGTTTTCCCTCTATTCAACCCATGCCAAAAGCCCTTCAGCTCCCTCACGTCATGGTCAGACATAGAATAGTCCACCCCGTAAAGAGCGAGGCTATTCGCTGTAATAGTCATAGCATAGATGCTATTAACGGTTGATTCAGTCTGATTACCTCCAAAAAAAATCATACTAACCACAAATAAGCAACACATAAACCCACCCCCCTTATTGTGCAAAACAAAAACAACAAGTAAATTAAGTTTGAAGGGAAAATGCAATAAAATTAAAGCTACAGCCGATAGAATTCTCTAGTTTCCATCCTTGCTAGATCCTCCTTCCAGAACTTCAATTGTGTGTCAGGCGGGCATTGTTCTTTGCCTCCTCCCCGTTTTTTTTGCCAATCCCCTATCTATCTCCACGCCTGCTTGCAGAGAGTCTTCCGCTCCTTGGTCAACTCCTACGCTTCTGCTCAAATTTCTCTCCTGTAGGATGATGTTCTTGCTCTCGTGGAATCCTATAGTTACCCCCACCCGATGCCTTATTACAGTTTTCACCTTCTTTTTCATTCCCTTTACCCACTGGAGCTAACCACTTGTTCTTGCTCGGCATTACCCTCCCCTTAACATCTCTCAATTCCGATCCAAATAGTAATTCTTCCCCCTTCCCCACCCCATTGGGGTAGCGTGGGCAGTACCTTTTTGCGTGCCCAATTATACCACATGCAAAACAAAAACTAGGAAGCTTCTCATATTTAAACCTGAACCAAAAATTATCTCCTTCATCTGATTGCAAAAATAACTTCCGTTTAAGAGGCCTGGTCAGATCTATATTAACCTTAGCTTTATCCTCATGAATAGATTCCATTTGACTGAAAAGTGGTATTCATCCACTTTGATGAATTTTCCAACAAGATTGACTATTTTAATTGCATTCTTCGTAGTGAAATATCCAACACGGACATCATGAATCTGCAACCAAAAAATCAGCTCTGTTCAAGGGTACCTCTAGAGGTAAATCACCTTTCCGCAACTTATTAAGTACAATCCGGTTTTGCTCAAAAATTCAGGGACCCTCCTCTAGGACCCTTAGCATATCATTTTCGTTATAAAGCTGAAACATGTACCTTCTATTCCCTAACTCAGTAATAGTGACACCCCTGACTAGTCTCCAGATATTTGCCATGGCATCACGAAAGAATGGAAAATGTACCGATTTTTCAGAAGTGATTGTCCCTACCAACGCCCAACCGATTTCATCACTATGAGGTGCTAGAGCCTCTACCTGTAGAAATTCGTCCCCATCTTCCATCTCCATGTTTCCATACGCGGTAGCCAGCTTCTCAATCTCTCGTTATTCGTTAATATCCGTCATTAATCTTGATGAATAGGTATTTATGCTGCGACGTTACTAGCTCATTCCGTCGTTGCTCTTGGTTGGACTGCGTGTACCAAAACAGTGCCTCAGTTTTACACCGTAATCCACAAACGCCGAAACTCCACTCGCAAGGGAACCCACAGAGATCCTCACGTCAAAAGCTTTCCAAAACTTCGCGCAAACCTAGAACCCTATGTGCGGCCTTCCGCAATATTTTCACAATGTATGTACTTAATTAGGATTCACTGCGTAACATCTTTTCAAGTTTCACATAAATATATTAATTAAAATAATAGATCAATATGCCTAAATAAAAAGGGACGGAGGTAATACTCGGTACGTAGTATGTAGTTATTGATAGGAGTATAATACTGTACTGCGTAGAATAATGAACAAAGATGAATTCTTCGCTCATTCTTGGTGAGTACGTAAATGCTACATCCGGCTGTACGATGAGCACCGTATAGCCGGCCCAGTAACAGGCCTAAGAGAAAAATAGCAAAATAATTTGGTGGCATTTTTGTAATTAATATGAAAATCGTGGTTACTGCTGAATGAGCATTAGTGTATTGTTAATGAGAAATAGTTCAATTTTAATGAGTATGAAACGTCTAATAATGAGCATCGTGTTATTACAAGAAAACTGATATCACAACTGAAAAACGGTGGCATTTTCGTAATTTCAGTGAAAATCTCGGTTTTCGTTATATGGACATTAACACACTTTTAATGAGCATCAGACGTATTCTACTGAGCATTAAGAGTCGAATAATGAGTATTGTGATATCAACTGCATATATTGTAATTCACTTTCTTTTTCTTATTTTTTCTTTTATAAAAACTCATTAAATTATATCTATAACCAATTCCTATGAATTTCAATATGTGAATCTAATGTAATATGATACTTTTGAAATATGCATTGTTATGACATTTTAAAAATGAGACTAATAGAAGTACCAATTGAGCACACGTAACTTACAAAATGAGCATTAATATAAAAGTAATAAGTTTTTTAGTTGAGCATGAAAACATCTCCATTGAGAACCAAATCTCCTCTATTGAATATCAGAAACGTGCAATTGTGTATCACTCTTAAATATGCATGAACGTGACATTTTGAAATGAGCATTACATCAGTATCAAATGAGCATACATAACTTACGTAATGAACATCGAAAAAAATCAAAAATTTCATTTGAAATCTCTACTATGCTCAAATATAAAATGAGTATGCATAACTTACGAAATGAGTAGTGAAAAATTTAAAATGAGCATTACATCGATATGCATGAATATGACATTTTAAAATGAACATTACGTCAATATTAAATGAGCAAACATAACTTACGAAATAATCATTGAAAATTTCAAAAAACTCATTTAAAATTTGTAGTATGCTTAAACATTAATTTGTGTATATATGTTCAAATATTAATTTGTAAATGCTCTAACGCTCATATATTCAAATACTACGTGATAAGGACTAAGGAGTAGCACTTTGTCGGTTAAAGTTTATCTTATGCAGGTGGCAGAGGATTGATTAATCATCCAATAGGGTTTTGTCATTTGTGATGATTTTAAAAATTGATTTGAATGGGTGAAGAACCACTGAAATCGTTGAGCTGCATGGCTGAAGAACACCTTTTTCCCACTACTCACTTAGTGGCAAGGTTTTAAATAGCGGCCCGCTACCGCTATAGCTGCCGCTATATAGCGGTCGCGGTAGGGGCCGCTACCCGGCTACCGCTACGGCCCGCTATTTCTTTGTGATTTCCAAATCACGGGGAAAATCCGCTACGTCGCCCGCTACAGGCCGCTACAGCCCGCTACAGCCCGCTACAGCCCGCTACCGGCCGCTATCGACATTTTCGGCAATACATCACAAACTGTTTCATGTGTAAATGTGTAAATGTTGTCTGAATGATGTGAAAAAAACACATTAGTGAAACTCAAAATTAAATGTACATCTATCCACATACATTATGGTAGCAAATATTAATAAATACATGAATTACAATTATTAAAGCCGAATTAATTATTGATAAGGATGATTTATATTGGTTGACGAAAAATTTTTTGACTTAACAAAACAATTTGGAACGGAAATGATATTATTATGGATTATGCAAATGAAATTGGAAATGAAACGCAAATATGTATTATTATTAGGTAGATTCTATGGTACTCTTATGATATCATATCTTTTTCCACATGGACCAATCACCAATCAAAATGATACAGTCGAATTATTTAAATCTAAATTAAAAAGGATATAATGATTGAACCAATAAAATGCATGGTAGCTACGGTACCCCATTTTTTAAATGAGTATCGAAGTCATCACCTATTATTAATTTAGAAGTGGACTTAACATAAACGGTTGTATTTGTTTTTTTAATATACTGTTTAATAAGGACACTAATCTTACTTTTATTGGTTTATGGTTAATTTAAGTAAATTTATACTCCCTAATATTTATAAGTGTTTAATATTCTGTTTAATGTTATACGTGTTCAAACCAATATTCATAACATTTCTATTAACTGTAACACCCATTAATATATGCTTTGCGCATTTGAAAATAATTCACGTCGCTGCAACCGTTATAGTCGGCTACAGGCCGCTACAGGCCGCTGCCGCGATGACCGTGACCGCTGCCGCTACCGCTACCGCTGCCGCTACGGCTGTTTAAAAGCTTGCTTAGTGGAGATGACAGCTTTGTTGCGGGCAAGCGCCAGTATCCATGGATCTCGAAGCCGGTGCCGGTGCAATTTTCTCTGTCCTTCGTCCTTAACATTCCAATTTATTTATTACAAAAATACCAGGCTATACCCCGAAGATAGCCCTGGAGGTACAGCCGGTTGCAGATACGGAGTATAATTTAACATTCTTGGTAGTTCGTTAAGAACTGACAACTGAGTATCAGAAACACGGCCAAACACCAGAATGGAAATGGTGTTATCTAGCTCGCTCTTCCTCGCCGCCGTTATAGTCTGCAGCATTTGTACTTCCATCACCTTTGCCCAAATGGACACCTCTCCACCGCTGCAGCAGCCGCAATATCATCCGCTAACGGGCGCCCTACAGACTCTCTCCGACTCCGGCTACGTCGCCATGTCTCTCACTATTGAGCTCATCGCGAAAACTCTCATCAGCTCCATCTCCAACGCAACCACCGCCACCACCCCCAGTCTCACAATCTTCTCTCCGCCGGACTCCGTCTTTGAAGAGCTCGGCCAGCCTTCACTGCGCCAGCTCCTCCTCCAATTCTCCCCTCTCGCGCTCTCTATGTCTGCTCTCGGTTCCCAATCTGTAGGCTCTGAAATCCCCAATCTATCTCCCTCCGGCTCCCTCTACATCAGCTGTTCCTCCCCTGACGACTCTCGTCAGGTCTCCATCAACGGCGTCAACGTCTCCCGCTGGCCAGTATTCGACGATGGCGGCCCTGTAATCGCGTACGCAGTCGATAATTTCTTCCCCTCGAATTTCTCACCGCCAAAGCCTGCTACGACGAACCCTAGATCAGTCCAAATCTCCGACTGCAAATTGCGCTCGTCTTCTCTGCTACACGAGGCCTCCATCACACTGAAATCGAGGGGGTATTCAACAATGGCGTCATTTCTGGATTTACAGTTGTTCGGATTTGCAAGCACTTCGCCGATGAAATTGACTGTGTTCGCTCCGGTAGATGAGGCTCTGGTTCAGTATACGGGCAACATAATGGCGTATCAGTCGGTGTTGATCGCGCATGTGCTTCCTTGCGTTGTTCGTTGGTCAGATCTGAAAGAGATCGGTAAGAACAGCGGAGCGGCATTCATGGACTACGCGAACGGGTTTAGCATGAATGTGTCCAGCGGAAATGGCGAGGTTTACGTGAATGGAGTTAGGATTTCAGTTCCAGATATGTATAGCAATGACTGGATTGTGATCCATGGACTGAATGAGATGATTCCTCTGGAAGATGAGTTAGAATCGAGAAGAGAATCTAATTTCGGCGGGGGGCGTTACATGGAGGTGTCTGCACCTGATCACAACGAGTTTTGATCGAGTTTCTGTAAGGTTTCATCTTCTTCTTGTGATTGTACCAAAGTTAGTGTTACTTCTCATTGTTTTGGTGAAATTTTGGAAACTGCAGGGTATAAAGCACCCATTTTGTCTCATAATTTCAGCATTATTACACGTTAGTACATTACAGAGCATTTCAGCATTTTATTTCTTTTCTTAATTAAGTTCTTGTCATTCATTATGGGGTTACTCAAATCGAAAATTCCATAATCTGAATTGAATATAACACATCTTCAATTTTGTTCACACCTCAATTTTAACTTTTTCATTTTTTTAAAGATCAATTGTTTCTCTTTTTTATGATTTTTCATATGAAACTTTTTAAAAAGAATCCTGCTAAAAATAGATATTTAGAGAACTAAGATTTTTTTACACATAGTAATAACACACTATTGATATCATTAGAATATCATTAAAAAATCATCAAATCTAAGGGAACAAGTTAAAGATTCACCAATTTATGTATACGGCCATGACCTTACAAGATTGAATTTATTTTAGCAAAAAGCTTGATCAAGAGACCACACCTAAACAAATTGCAATTATATAATACTAGTAATATTTTATTAATAAAAAGGGGAATAATACAAAGTTACAAACGCTAATAACAGAAGAAAGCAAGCAAGAGTAGGAAAATAGCGAAAGATTATTTTTTCGAGCAAGTTTACTATACACAGTAATGATTATTCTATTCCTTCTCATTAATTTTTTTTATTTATCATAATTCAGTCCTCATATATTATTCCAATAAATCGTTAGCCAAATGGCTGAAAAATACAATCAGGGGCACTATCAAATATAACCCTCTGATCTGGTAAATGCACATGAGCTGTTAATATTTTTTTGGAAGAAGTGGGCTTAGATTAAAATCACAGCATTCAAAAAGGGACTAAAATAACAAAAGCACCACCAGCAACCATCCGTCCTTGGGCTAGACTCTGAGTTAATCACCTTTGACAAAGCTATATAACTCACTGATCCGAAAATGAGCATAATTGAGTCAATAATGGTTATTGCAGAACTCTCATCCCCCAAACCTAATGCAAGGGTCTTACAATAATAAAAATAACCAAGAGAAAAATAATCAGTCTGATCTTGAAAAATAAATCGCAAGAAAAAAGTAGAATTTAAAAGATGCTTCCAACCCCTAGACTCTTTTGCACTCCTAGCAGTACTGTAGCTTCTACTTCACATTGCCTCTTATTCATCTTGTTCTCTACCAAATCTCCTCTGTAGAGATTATTGTTGTCCCCTCCTAAAGCCATCCGGCCTCTTATATTGGTCCAGCACTTCCTCCATCAGTTGAGTAGCGTAACCAGCCATCCGCCCCAAGCTCTGCCGCAAACCCACCGATCGATGCTAGAGTCGAAGTCGCCTCGATCGATCCCTTGCTTCTGCGTTTCCGAAACCAGCCCTCGAATTCGCGCCCCACCACCACGTTCTTCGTCCCTGCTTCGCAAGCACTGCTACGCCGAGACGAAAGAGACGGGAAAATTGATACTACACTAGAGACGGCTAGGAAGCCAAACCCTAGAGGGAAGAAGGAGAAGATTTTCGTAACTTTGTTTGCCATCATGAGCTCTTAATATTAAAAACTAAAAAACATTAATATTCTTAATATTATTATTGTATATAAATATCGGTATTGCTGTTGGAATTAACTAACTTAAAAAGAAAGAAATGCATTTTATATTTAAATAATTATTACGCCATATGGCTCCTGATGCAACGATGGACACAAATAAGCTCACAGAGAGGAGGGGAGCACGGAAGAGTGTTTCACGGAAGAGAGAAAGCTGATGGGTAACTTTTCTGGAAATTTAAAAAAGGTCATATTTTTGTCTAATGAAAGCTGGAGAGTAATAAATATATGTCATTCTTTCATGTATCATCTATCGATCACTAATCAACAAATAATACTACCTCCGTCCCCCTAAGTTTGGGAAAAAGAAGGTGACACGGTTATTAATAAAAGTGGGTTTATGTGATTGATATTAAATTGATAAAGTAAGAATAAAGTAAGAATGATTTAGAGCCACACAAATTTTACCAAATAAGGTATGGGACAATCTTAGTGGGACGGACCGAAAAGATAAAATGGGACAATCATAGTGGGACGGAGAGAGTACTACGTGATACGTAGTATATACGGAGTAATATAGAAATTATTATTACATACCCCCAATATTACAATGTATGAAAAACTGATGAAGATGAACTTTCTAGTTAAATTTGATCAACTAGCTCAATAAAAAGTTGTACTAAACCATCAAATAAAGCCTATTTGACGGTTGTGTGACTTGTGTCTTTTTTAATTGGTTAAGTATAAGGATTTAATATTAAAAATGACTTTGTATTATTTTTGTTATATATGGAATAATTATGACTATAGTACGTATTACTCCGTATTAAGAATTGATCGGTGATAGTTAAAAGGGATAAGGGTCAGATAGGGCCTCGAACTCGAAAAAAAATGTCAAATAAGGTCATATTTCGGATGCTCTGTCTGGCCGACGCCATTTGGGGCGGTTCCCGATGGAATTTTTTGATGAAATTTTTTGAGCATCTTCCTCATTAAGTCTAGTTTACCCATACCAAATTTCAGCTAAAAATTCAACCGGGAAGGTAGTCAAATAATTTTCCGAAATGTACGGCGTTGTTTAACTTCACAGTTATCTTCAAAAATTCATTTGACTACCTTCCCGGTTGAGTTTTTAGCTGAAATTTGGTATGGGTAAACTAGACTTAATGAGGAAGATGCTCAAAAAATTTCATCAAAAAATTCCATCGCGAACTGCCCCAAATGGCGTCGGCCAGACAGAGCATCCGAAATATGACCTTATTTGACATTTTTTTTCGAGTTCGAGGCCCTATCGGACCCTTATTCCTAGTTAAAATCATTTTCCCACATACAAATCACCATTATATCCTCATCGTTTTCATGGACTAGTTTGGTATAGTACAATACGAAATAGTCTGCTTTGTTTTTGTCGAATTTCATTCTAAGTTGGTCCTAAGACCGGCCATTCCAGACTAGAGCCTCAGAAATCCCAGACCGAAAGAATAACACTCTTGTGTTGTTCCTATTAAATACGAAGTATAATTTCTTCTGAATTTAATTTAATAACTTAAAAGAAAAGAGTAGCTATTTATCCGACCATTGGAGTTTTCCTCAGTGTCTCTATTTTCTCAGCCAGTGCAATAACTGTATCTTTTTGTCCGTCTTCCAGGAGAGCGTGTTTCAGATTACCGAACAACGCCCTTGGAGGCCTAATCCCCAAATCAACCATTTCTTGAAAGTATCTGCAGGCACACTGCAACTTATTCTCATGGCAAAGGCTGTTGATTAGCGTTGAGAACATATGCATAGTTGGAAGCACCCCTCTACCCTTCATCTTATCCCACGTCCTCAAAGCCATATCTACGCGATCCTTGGAACAGAACATCCTCACTATAGCCTCGTACGTACTCACTGTCGGCTCACAAACGGGGTCTTTTTCCATTTTCTGGAAAACTGAGTAAGCGTCTTCTGTTCTTTGTGCCTTTATGAGATGACGAAGAAGTATATCATACGTTCGAGCATTTGGGCCGATCCCACTTCTTCTCATCTCATCAATTGTCCGATATGCATCATCCATTCGGGAGGAATGACAATAAGCTCCAACCACAGCATTCAATGTAGCCAACTCAAGCACACAGCCACTACTTTTGTATATGTCAAAAAAATTGAGAGCTTCTGTTAACATATTTGCTGATCCCAGCCCATTGATCAGGGTGCAATAAATATGAGGCGTTGGTTCGACATTCCTCCTTTGCATTTCATGAAACATCTCGACAGCCTTATTGTACTCCCTACCCTTGCAGTGAGCATGGATGATGATCCCATAGCTCACGGCATCTGGCTCAAAGCCAGCATCACACATTTCACGGTACACTTCATTCAGCATCAGCATGTTCCTTTCTTCACCGAACCCTTCTAGGAGTATGGTGTAGGTTTTCACATCTGGTTTGAACCTTTTGTGCTTCCATTCGTCGAACACCTGGTGTGCAGTCCCGACAGCCCTAGATTTGCAGAGAGTGTCTAACAATCTGTTGAAGTCCTGTAGTTCAGCCTTCATCCCATACATCTCCATCTTCTCGAACGCGTTTATCGCGTCCTTCACCCGCCTAGCCCTCGCGTATCTCCTGGATATTAGGGCAAATGTGTCTTTTGATACCAGCCTTTTCTTCTTCATTTCATCAACCAATCTCCATAACAGCGCGAACTGTTTGATCTTACCCAGAGCTTCAATCAAAGAGTTGTAGCTCTCGGCGGTATGCTGGAAACCGGTCTTCTTCTCGGCCCACCGGAAGAACCAAAAAGCAAGAACGCCGGAGTTGCTGAGCTTTTTGAGAACATCAGTGACCAATGCCGGAGATGGAACCACGGAGGCAGAGTTCAGGTTACAGTAAAACTCTGTCTGCGATGTGCGGTGGTTCAGTGCTAGCTTGCAGATCATTTCCGTTTCATCAATGGTTTTGGTAATTTTAGAATCTGGAATTTGGTTGAGTGATTGTTCATGGATGGACTGGTCAAATGTGTGAATAGTGCGGTTGGATTGTGCCCCAAGTAGACGCTGGTTACCGTTATGGAGACTGGGAAAGGGATTCATCGGATGAATTCGGGAGCTCGGGAAGCTTTTAGGTAGGCGGGAAAGGAAACAACCGAGACCCATTTAGATGATGGATGATGATACAGACAAAATTCAGTCTAAAGGATAGAATCATATAGGAGGGTGCGCAATGTTTTTTTTGCATAGGCATGGTTTTTTTTTTCAAGAGTTAACTAAACTGTAAATGAATCAAATAATTTGTGCTCGATTCGTGATTCGAATTCGTATAAGACGATTCGAATTCGAAAAATTCAAATACAAATACAAATATGAATATGAAATTTGATTCGAGTTGTTATCAAATACAAATAAGAATATCAGTGTATTCGATTCGAATATTAATCACATATATTCGATTAATAATAGTGATAATATTATTATTAATAATAATAGTAATAACACTATAATAACTTTTAAAAGATAGCAATACTCTAAAGTGTAGTTCATATATACATTTATGCATACAGATTCTACGTCTATTTGTAACAAGTCAAAGTATAAATACGAATACAAATCGGATTTTTGGTTCAAATGTCTTTCAAATACAATACAAATAATTATGTATTTGATTCGCAGAATAAAATTA